TGACGTCCAGGGGGGGGGGGGGGGGGGGTAAACAAGAAAACAACAATAGAAATTCCTGGAATTCGATTGTTCTCTTTTGAAAAATTACCGTTAATATCGGACGTCATAAGTGAACGATCCTATAGTTTATTAGTAAAAAAGGCGTAGAAAGTGAAAAACCACTGATTCTGCAAATACATCCTTCAATCTGGAATCCTTAAGTAAGTCGTATGAACTCGATATTTTGAAGAACTGAAATCCGCTCAAGAAAAATCAAGTAATTCTTGTTTATGAAAGGCTCAGCTTCTGATTAAACAACATCCCTCAAAAATCATTTAACCTTAATAAACTTCTTCAATTACTAAACTAATGAATTCAATCCACATAAAATCATCTCCAAAAAACCCCGACGAACCCAGAAATTATTAAAAATACACAACTTTTAAAAAATAGAGTTCAAATTTCAGTCATAAAATGATGCTTAATGTGTTGACTAATTGCTTCCATAATTCACACCTGTTATCATTGTTGATTATCAAATTGATATTGACAGCGCCCCTACACTCCTTCCCATCCAATTTACACATCATAATCATCAACAAAAACAAATGTTGCAGCAATTGAATACCGAGACATTTCACAAGTTACAACCCTAGTGCGAATTGGAACTGATTTTGCAAATAAAGAAAATCTCTAATTTTGTAAGACACTTGGTAAGAGAGCGGCTACTAAAAGAGAACTTAGTCGACATTAAAAAATATTGATAACATATTTCACAACGCGAAGCATTGGCTTTAAGCATCAATGTCAAATTTATAGTCGTTTTAACAAATAGTTATGCCTCTTTAGTATGGATGTAAACAAGTTCCGAGGCATTTTCTTTCTTTCTTAATTAGCACAATCTGCGAGCTGCCTAAGACCGTTAAAAATCCATCAAGTAGTTTCGGAAAGTCTTTAATTTGCATATATTAAATTGATTTTTCTGTTGTGTGTGGCACTCAGTGGCACTACAAAGATTTTTTTTTGTCAACAACAAACTATTAATTTAATTAATTAAAGTAATTCAATATTAACATTTTAATTGGTTCAATGATCTCCAATGCTTAAATTGAAAGAAATGTGTAATTAAATGGTTGTGCACAGTTTTTTCGTAATTACATACAATTCAACTAATGACTTGTCATCACTCACTCATTCATGTGAAATAAAACGTCAATTACAATGCTGCCGTTTTCTTCCTCTATGTGGTTGACGTTTGTCATTTTTGTGAATCAAAAAGATTTTTCGTTGTTTTTTTTTGACCTACCCTGTTTTTTCGTTATAAGCTACTACTCGTTACTAAGCTACTAGCTTAGTAAAGTTTTTTTGAACTTGAAAATTTTTCGGAATCTTTACTAAGCTACTACCAAAAATAAAGCTTAATTAATCTTTTTCAATTTTCTAAGTATCAGTTTCAATGCCCTATGACATTGTGAATGAAATGAAATTGAGAAGATAGCAAAATCTCTTTAATTAAGTTAAGAAATTCAAAATTTTCATTGAAGTTCAATTTCTTTACTAAGCTACTACTCGTTACTAAGCTACTAGTGAGCCAAAAAAATCACTTTTTTATTCTTCTAAGCTACTAGCATATAACGAAAAAACAGGGTAAGTCTCTTTTAGTACAAGTGGGATACTTGAAAATCTACGCAAAATGACTTTATTGTGGTTATTTTAAGGGGAAATCAACATGATGGGAAACATTTTTTAAAAATTACAATTTTTCATTTTTCCTTACTTTAGTTTTGATGAGAAATTGGTGGAAAATTCTCATAAATTATTTTCCTCATCATGTTAAGTTCCCCTTGGTTTAATGCTCATTGCTGGAAACATTTTATTTTTGGCTATTTCATTAGAAAAAAAAAACACCATCTAAGGCCGAATGCTTGTGTCCAAAGAGGCAATTTAGTTGAAGATTGTTGAAAAATTCATGCAACAACTTACTGAATAATATTCCTATGTTGTTTTTGTGACCTGTACAGGAAATTGATGTCGGATTCTATTTGTTTGATTTTTTATGAGATTGATTATTTAAAATTAAAGTTTTAGCATTTTGGCATACAGTTGACTCTTAAGCAATCGTTTTAACACATCCCGAGTGACACAATGCTGTCTTGTAAAGTTTTTATGTAAAAATGTTACAGTTTGTTACAGATTAGAAAGTTGTCATCTTCTTTAAATGTCACGGTGATCGTCAATTCTGTTGTAAGTTGTTTTAAGGGCTCCTGCTGTCTTTAAAATGTGTATCAATTTTATTTCTTTTAAAGGGTGCTGTTATGTAATCGGATGCCACCCAAAAGACAGCCTCAGATCATTTATGTACTTCCTGTAGATTGTTTTTGTCAAGATAGCACTCCAAACATTAATGACCAACCACGCTCGCAATTTTTCACGACTAATTGTTGTAGATCTAACAGATGGTCATGATCAGATCTTTAAGAGCTTTTTAAAAGCCTAAATAGGAAAAAGAGATCTGAAAAGTTTGATTTGCCATTACAATAATGTCAACGGAGAATAATGCGGAAGATGAAACTTTTCCCAAACATATCTTTGATCTTTTCGTCTCAAATTTGCTTTGAGTAAGTTTCATTTATGATTTCTAATCCTTTTGTTAGGCTCGAGAAATCTTTCTTTCTTTTTTTTGACAATCAGATCACAATTTAAGTGATAATTAAGTTGTAATTGAAGTGGTTCATATGAAACCATTAATTATCCATATAATTCTACATAAAAAGCGGTAAGCCATTGAATAGAGATTTGACCGCAGCATTGCGTGATCAATTATGTTTCAGAGAACAATATAATCTTGCATTAATGCTTTAATCCAATTAATTTATTATTAACAACTATGCAGTGGTGTAGCCAGGATTTAAAGTCAACCAATAGGGGTGTAAGGAGTAAGGATTTAGCAATTTGGTAAGCTATGTAGAAACCTCGAACTGGCTCCACTCCTTCAACCAAGCAAGTCATTCCAAGAACAGAATCAGTGCAGCACATTGCTATTGACTTTTTTTCACGTTTTTTTTGAGCTATAATTTTTAAGATCAATAGCAAGCTAGCATGTACAATTCAGAGCATTTGAATACTATGGGTTAAGAAAAAAAATCTCAAATTTAATTGATTGCATAACACATAGTAAATTGGTGCAAGTTTCATACACTCGAATTTAAATTACTGTGTGTGGCAATTTCAAGGCTGTTGGAAGTACATTACAACCATTTTTTTTTTCTCTCACTTTTCAATTGAATGAATGAATAGAATATACATGGTACGTATCGATTTAAATACCAATAATAATACTAACAATAATGCAATGAAATGAAACAAAAGCAGCCTCCGTACTTTATATGAAAATTCGAATTATAGTACTTTGAAGCTATTGTCTACTTTTTTTGTAAGTGAATAAAATTGTGGATTTGATTTGAATTATTTTTCATAATGTGTAACAAGACAATCGAAAAGTGCGTGAGAAATTAAATATTCCAGGAAGTTAAAGTTCTTCAAATGTTTAAAAATGTTGATTCACGCTTCCATTGAGCATAGCATGTTGAGCATAGTTGACATTCCACGTACAAAAACGATTTATTAAATGCACCACCGGATAAGACTATTAGAGACTTCACGAGACCGTAGCTCATAAGTGATTATTAGAGCCTTGAAACTGTATGCAAAGGAAATGTTGTAATTTTAATAAAAATTTAACCCAATTTGCATTGTTGAATGGCAAATTGAAACTGCTGCTCTTGTCATGATTATTTAGCTTTTACCTTTCGGGCATCTAAATATTCAGCATTATGCTTTATGTATAAATAATTTCGTTCAATGGCTGTTTTATTTTTATGGCGAATTATTTGGGCTCGTGGAAGTAGAAAATTTATTCATGTTTATTTGTTTAAATCTCAATTGTTTTACATGTGCTTGTTTGTGTTCAGTCATTAACTCCTGATTTAATGACAAACCAAGATTATTCACTGAACATCTATAATCATGTATTAGACAAAGATTATTCATAGTTCAGCTTCAAATAAACCAAATTCAAAAGTAACGGTCAAAAAAATTTCAAATTGACAAAAAAAAACATTCAGTAGTTCAAGTTCATTCCAGTTCAGTTCATTCAAATTCAAGAATTTCTTTGACAAAATTTAAAATTCCAAAATTCGTTATTCAATGCAAAAAGATTTTATGGCTTTGAACAGAATATTAATTTTTGATTGCCTATTAAAACAAAAGTCAAGCGATAAGGTTGAAGATTAAATAAATTTGGCTCCTAATCAAATTAACATATAAGCATGCATCAATCTTGATTTACGATATTTAAAACAGTTTTTGCAATTCTAAATAGCGTCAAATTAAGTCCACTGCTCTTTATTTTTATTAACGTGCGTTTAGAGCTCATTTAGCACATTTAAGTAGTTTAAATATATTCATAATGTTATGGTGCTTTAAGAAAATTTACTGCAAATATCTTTCGTATCTCGATTGCTTTCATGTATTAAACTTAATTTTATACTTTATTTGCTCATGTACCGTTCGTGTTTCCAAATTTGTTTCGCATTTCATCTGTCACTGTTTGATTGGTACTACGGTTAATCGCTAGAAAATAAATAATTATTGCTAATGAATGTGGCCACATACGTTGATATTTTTAAAAAGTGCAGCATATGCTGTAGCCACTCTGTAAATATGATCGGTTTGTCTTTTGAATTTAGAATTAAAATGAACTGATTCTGGGACTGTGGAACTTAATTAATAACATCCATATAAATGCGCTCTATTCTCAACATCCTCAAGCCATAAAGTTTCTTTTCATACTTAAATTTGCGATTTCCTTTTAAAAAAGTATCTCTTTTGGGTGTTTGGTTAACTTATTGTGGAGCAATAAAAATGTATGACTTGTAGGTTGCAAAATTAGTAAAACTAGCACTTGAATTGAGGAAGCAAGTTGAACTTTTAAGTATATTAAATTTAAATAAATTCATTATGTGGGAATAAATTGTTCTAATTTTGTATTTTAACAAGTCATTATTTTTATTCAAGAATTTAAATTTTCCTGTTCATGGACATGCTCTTTTAGGAATGCATCGTTGAACGTTATCCCTAATAAATCCTCTAATGCAGAAACATCCTGATCTGCAGACCGCAGGAATAATTGGATTAGGATTAGCACATGTTGCTTCACGAAAAGGTCCACAGTCACTATATCTTGTGTGCGGTTGTGGACATCTTTTTCTATTGACATGATCGGATTGACCTGAAAAACATAATGAATTTATCGATGCAAAACTAGTCCAAAATTACTTACAGAATCCAACACATGCCACAAGAAGAAGTACAATCAACAATTTATTCATTTTGTTCTTTAGTAAATTTACAAATGAGGATATTGATATACACTTGTTATTACCTCAATAAGTCAAGTTGATTATTGAAATCTAGGATTTATTATCAAGTATTTATAAGATTTTTTAGCTGATTATTGACAACAATGTGTTTACATGTCAACATCCTCATTTCTTCAAAATCAGCAAAATCTTTATTCTAAAACAAAGGTTTTTCTAATCCGTTCAATGAGATCAATAAATTAAAGCAATTCAAAGCTCATTCACTTTTGATGACTTCGTTCCTTGCAACACGTGATTTTTTCTCAAAAACCGTTAAATAAAAAATTTGAATTCCACTTGGATTTGAGAAGCTTTAAATTTTTGGCACAAATTCTGAACTTTATGTTCTATTAAACTCATCATTCAATGATTATTTCAGCACATATAATGTTTCTATGCTGCTCAACATACAGCAACATAATTTTTTTGTGAATAAAAAACAAAATTTTCAACCCTGGAAAAAATATTCAAATTTTCAAAAACCGTTTCAGAATTTCATCCCAACACTATCATAGAAATTTACAAATACATCTACAAAAATAATAATAACAACGGTTGTTTTTTGAATTTTTCTAATAGTCAAGCAGGAAAAGTTGTTTTTATTTAATTAATAAGGAAATATAAAGTGATGGTAGGTTTTAAGCACATAATCGCATTGCGAACATAATAATCTACAATTCTGTATAAAAATTTCCAACAGGAGCGCAATCAAGGACATAGATTCTTAAATCCAAAGGAAGCATCCTGGAATTTTGATTTGAGCGATATAAAAAATGACAAAACACAATATTTAGATAGAACTGAATTAAGAAGTGTACAAAATTCTCCATTTGAGCCTAAAGAAATATCTGCAAGATCAACGCAAATCCAGACAAAGCAAAAATTTGGTCAACTTGATTTTGATGAAATAATGAAATCCAGTTCTTCGGAAGCTGTAAGAAATAAATATCGTGAAAGTTTAGCCGTTGGAAGAATGAGCAATTTCCCAAAAACAAATGATTCAAGCTTCAGATCATCAATTAGTAACAAAAATAGTGAAATAGTCAGAACAACATCAACGGTTAGTCGAAAAGACTTTTGGGATGATGCAAATCCATCATTTTCAAGCTTCACTGGAAAGAACTTAACATATTCAAATGAAGAATTCACACCAGCTGAAAATATGGCATTTCAATTAGAAGAAGATGAGAAAATGCAGGAAATGGAATATGCAGTAATTCCAAGAGTCAATAAAGCTACAGAAGAAACAGGCAATTGGGAAAATAACGTGTCTAGGCAGCCGGAAATGTCATTTGGACAGTATTGCATGGAAAAAATTAAGCAGAGCAACATTCGAGAAGTGTACAGCAATGTCAGTCCACCAAAAAGACAAGACAGAATCCCGTTAGTTGAATTAAGCACAAATGACAGCTCGATAATGATGAATGAACTGCAAAAGGATGGAAAGTTCGATCAGAATTATATTGAGAAGCTAATCAGTAAGTTAATCAATACTTTTTGACTTCCAGAACTTTATTATCATTGAATATTCCTTATTTTACAGAAAAATCTGACGCTAATAAGGCACCAAAAGCTCTGATGAATAAATTAATGGAGAAGAAAGTCAAGGAAGTACAAAAGAATGTAGCAGAACTATTCAGCGATCAGAAAAACAGCAACACATTTCCAAGTTCTGTTGCACGAATGATGCAGGAACTAGATGTCGATAGAATTATGGAACTAGCTGAAGAAGAGAAAAGCAGGATGAGAATGGAAAAGGAAATGGATACATTTGATGATATTCCAGTTCAAGACGAGAATAATTATGGTGATGACTTGCAGAGAGACAGAAATGAATTACAAACAGAAAATCGAGGATTGAAAAGAAGACAATCATTGCTCTCAAGCGATACTCCTCGGTCAGCACTTGATAAATGTCTTAGATCAAGATCACCGTCAAATTATAGAGAATTGGAGAAAGCAGCTGAAAATCTTAAGCCTAAAATGCTCAACGATGAAAGTATCTTCAAAAAGCCGCTGCCAAATGACTCAACAATCCATAAAACTTACAATAAATCTCCATCAAGAACAATGACTGAAAATTCCGATAGTCAACAAACATCCAGAGAATATCTTACAGCCATGCAAGGATTATCAATACGATCACCAAATGAAAAGTTGTCATTGCCAAATTATGGATTACAACGTCCTGAACGATCAGCTTTAACATCACCAACATCTTCAGCGTCAATTAGATCTATAAATACTCAACATTGGTCACCAGAACATCGACTTAGAAGAAGTGCATCACAATTAAGTAACGACAGTGAATTTAGTGACGACTACTTGCCTATTAAGATAAATAACATGGACAATCGAAAGATTTCATTTCCATCTGTTAAAATTGACAAGTATGTTATCAAAAGCATTACAATTCAAAATGGATCTGACAAGAAATTGCCATTAAGAGTTAAAGTGATCGGTGCTGGATTCTCAGTCTCGCCACAAGAAGAGTTTCGTATGGTTCCAATGGAAGCTCGTACATTTAAAGTTAAATTTTTACCAAGCATTGTTGGACCAGCACGTGGTAGCTTAATTTTTGAGCTTATTACGAACAAGCAGTGCTCAAAGACAATTCCTTTATATGCTTATGGAGGGCATTCAAGTATAAGCATCGATGGTGTTCAGAAAGGTCCATTTGGTCCGCAATTTATCACAATGGGAACTGTTAAGGAACTTCATGCTGCAATTGAGTGTAAAATCAGATTAGTTAACAAAGGAACACTTCCAGGCTTTGCTAGTCTTGCTTTTGAAAAAACTAAACTCAGTGACTTTGTACTCTCAGATTCAATATCTGTGGAACCAAAGCAATTACGTATTGAGTCTGGAAAGTCAGCAGACGTGAGAATCAGGTTTAAACCATCAAAGTCTGAGGTTCGTAAGATAATTTCTTTTAATAAAGATGTGACAACAATTGGAGAGATTTGTGTCATTAGTGGCGACGAGCCAACGAGATTGAGAGTTCTCAAAAATCAGCATTTTGTCGAGCCAAAGTTCCTTAATTGCTTGCCGAAATCACTTCCAAATGAAATTGATATTCACTTGAAATTGCAAAAGTTTAAGGAAGATTTAAGTCGTGACAAGTTGACTTCTATTATGGAAGAGACTATTCGAACACATGGAATCGCACTTACAATTAATAGAGATCTCGAAGACTCAATAATGCTGTCGACTGAGATGTCACTTGCTGATGATACACGAATGAGCTTCAAGACTTTTCTCGATCAAACCAATATGCCTAATCCTATGGATACTGTTTATTTTGATGAAGTTCCAGGTCAAGATGAGTAAGTATTAAAGTTTGGCACTTCCTGCTAATGTTTTTTGGAAGCTGTGCTACTTAATGCTAATGATTTACGACTTGAGCCTTGAACTTGATGTATTCAAAAGTAATTTTATAGATAATGCACGACTTGTTGTTTTTCAATTAAGCACTCCTACAGAACAAAGGTGGAAAGATCCGTTAAACGGATCTAAGTAATTAATCAAGCGTACATACATCAAGTCAGCATGTTATTTTTTGCGCAACTCAATGAATTTACTGATTGAGCATTTTTCGAATTAAGTTGCTAATAAGTAAGAATTTAATTACTTTTTGACTTAAAAGCACAGCTTTAATTAATGATTTGAGGCATGTCTGTGTCTTATATCCTGAATAATTAATAATTTGAGTCATTTCTATGTCTTAAAACCTTACATAAGTTATCAATTAGAAAACAATTGTAAGGTTTTGAAACACCAGAAATTGTAAAAAATTGTAGGGTTTTATAGAAGTTCTTAAATCATTTGAAGGGTTTTCACATTTAAATTCAAATTTTTCGTTATTTTCATGAATTATTTATAAGATTCAAATTCGATTATTTCAAACCATAGCTTTCTTGAAGGCAAAGACTTTCGAATATCACCATCCGAGCTATACTTCAATCGGTCAGATGACGATCATAATACAACAAGATTCGTCAAAATAGAATCGTTAAGTGATGAGATTATGTACATTGAAGCTGTTCCATCAAATCATAAGCTATTATCAGCAATGCGGTCGTGTGGGAAGTTAAATCCTCGACAATCATGTGAAATTAAAGTGTCATTTACTGATAAAGCTTATAATACTCGACATTCTGTTACTACCGTATTAATTGTAAGTATAATTAAGATTCTTTATGTTCTGAATTTTTCTTTAATTGCTGTTATTACCACGTTATTTTTAAGATTATCATTCATGGTGCTCGCATTGAAATTCCAGTTAAGCTCGTCGAGTGAACATCAAGGATCCAAAAATAGTAAATATCACAGACATATTCGTCCATTAAGTTAATTATGTTAATTGTACTTAAATTACATTTTATAAGCTCCAATACAGTTGCACTTTTTATACATTTTGTAGCTATTGCTGTCTAGTTAATAAACATTTTGCTAAAATTTCATTTTTGGTGTAAATTTTTATTTAAATTATATCAAAAAATCTACAGTTTATAAATTAGAAATTACATCTCGTTCAATTTGATTTAAAAAAGTATTTTTTAAGGATTTTTGTGGCTTTTAAAAATGGAGCAATGATAAACTTTCGGACAAGCTAATTGTATAGCTGTTATTGAGCTTTGGTACGGTGGTTTACGTGCAATTAATCATGAATTTATAGAATTTAACGACATTTTTGAAGTTTAAGTAGCAGAGACACATTTTTGAAAATTTAACGGCTTTTTAATTTTTGAATATTTCAGTTAAAACCGTACAATTCCTTAGTATTTCAAATATTTTTTGACAGTTTAAATTTGAATTTCCGTTGAAAAACCAACCGTAATTAAAATGCACAATAAACCACTTGAGCTCGAAAATTACTTGAATGCTCAATTAAACAATTTTGAATCGTTAATTAACATTGATAATTTAAACAATTGGAAAAGAAAATTTCTCTTTTCAAATTAAATACGAATTAATAAAATAATAGTGATTGGTTGAGTGTGATTGATGCTACCAAACTAAAGGCACTGGATTGTATTTTTGAAAAATATCAAAATGAAACTTGTCGGAAGTCTTTGTCTCCAATTTAAACTGATTAGATAAAGGAAAGTCGATGGTAAAATTACAGTACGAAATATCGCTAGTAAGCCGTTCCAAAGCTGTATCGTTCACATCGAAATCAAAGGTACATTCAGTCTGATTATCATGATTAAATTTGTCATTAATGGAGATCATCTCATCTGGTGTTAAGGCGTTTGGTAAAATGGAATCTGATGTATGATTTTGACTTGTGCGGAGCTCTTTATTAAGTTGCGCAGGAATAGTCGTCAATATGATACTGGATAAGGCAAGAGTTAATACACTGCATCCATAAATGAACATAGAAATTGTTGCGTAATGAATAATTTGTTTAGCTATTTCAATCGTTGGCATAAGCATGTCTAATTCGCTGTATGTAAACCAATTCCGCGTTAATCCTTCCTTTAATGCTAGTAATCTCTCGACAGTCTTTAATTTCTCATGAAATTCATTATCGCTTACAACCAGATTCCATTGTATTGCATTCAGGAATGAAATCTCCAATTGTTTAAGTCGTTCCAAAGTCAGATCACCTTCGTATGCCCAATTATTGAGAAAAACTTCCGTTTCATCGTAATCGCTATAGAATTTTGTCGAAACCATCTAAAGAGAGATAAAAGGTTTTAATTTCATAAGAGTATAAAGTTTATCAAAACAATCAGAATGCACTAGTCAAGGTCATTAAATAGCTTACCAGAGTAACTAGGAACAACTCCGAAGGACTAATTAGCCGTGCATACGTTGGATCCGATTTTAAGAGCCTTTCCAGATAAATTAACGATAGAATCATTGAGCAAGGAGTTTGTTGACGTATCTTAGAGACAAATTTAAGATCCAGCACATTCAAATCGTAGTTCCTGCGACTTTCATTAAAATGCGACGCAACTTGTTGTGCTAATGGCTGAGAAATCATCCGATTTGGATTCGATGGTCCATAATACAAAGTCTTCTTGATTCTCTTTAAGAACTCCTGATGCTTAATCGAAATCTGTAAAATAATGCCCAAATTTGGTTAATTATAGTGTGTTTTGGTACATTGTAATGTGAATCATCTGACCTTATTTGGATTATTCGTGGATCTCGCTTTATCGAAAAGCGACACCATATTGCTTGCGTTTTATGCTACCCCAACAAGTGTATGAAAATATTTGAACTCGATATTTCCTTAGTTAAACTAGATTTTTTTCACTTTCTTATTTTTTAAAGTGAAATTTTTTTGGTTCAATTCACACTGTTGTTGAGAAATTTAAATTTTTGAAAGCCGTTAGTATTTTTTGAGACTGGAACGGTTGTTTAAAATTCGAAAACCTTCAAAATTTCTAGCATATTTTGAATTTGAATTTTTTAATTTCGTTATTTAATCTTCATTTTTTGACTAAAAGGACACCTTATTCCGTTTCGCTATATAACCCTCTGATATAGTCATGTACATACTTACTATTGTTTATACTAATTACTCCTTCTTAGTAATAAAATGATTTAAATCACCAAGTAATTTAGAGCACCTAATGCTTTAGGATATGTATCAAAACTTGAACTCTAATTTGCATTATCATGCAAGAAGAAGATGAAAATTGCTTTAGGTCATTTGTAAACTCGAGATAACAGTTGATGGACAGTTGATAACAGTTGGTGGACAGTTGATTGCGTTTGAATTTGTTTTTTTTTAATACCTAAGCTAAGATGCACTAGACTAAGAATTGGACACACTAATTTAACACACATTCACCTAATAGAAAAAACCTCTCCCCCAACCTGTACATGCAATGAAACCCTCACTGTCCAACACATTTTTGAGTGCATAAACAATCAAATAGCTATTGCTAAACATAACATAAACTATCAATCATTAAAAATTGACGACAAAAATGTCACAGATAAAATCCTCAATTTTGTAAAAGAAATAAATTTGTACGATAAAATCTAACACCAAAACAAATAATATCCTGTAATGCAGTTCGTATTTATAAATTTAAAATAATGTAAAACATATTTGGAATTGATAATGGTCTTAAAATTTATTAAAAAAGGACCTTAATAAAGATAAATAAGAAGAAGAAGAAGCTAAGATGCACGATTTTAAACTTTTAAGGATTTCAAAATATTTAAATTTTAACCGTTTTCAAAAATTCAAATTTTATTGGTTTTCAAAAATTCAAAATGATTTTTATTATTAAAGCTTAAAAAAGCTCTTAAAACATTAAAATTCATAGCATATCCTGCATTATACCCATAGTAATAAAAAGTTGTAAAGGTGCCAAATATGAATCTCATCATTTTCAATTAAACATTTTACATGCTAATGGCTTGTTCAGATTATCGCTGCAATTTGTTATAATTTCAAAATAAAATAAATCCATAATTGACTTCAATTTATCCCTCTTTAAAATGCTAATTAGATTGCTTAATTCAGACCATTTTGCAGTATTGGTTGAATTTTAACCCTAAACAGCATATGTCAGCACAAATTTCAATTACGCACACCCACAAATAAAATTTAATTAATGTTGTGCTAAATTCAACCAAATAAGCCCCAAAATACTAATGGCAAATTGGTGCTGATAAATGCGAATAATTTGCCAACAAGCTACTGTATCAAGTGAATTCCGTATTGGAACTAATTAAATTTTCACTGCATCCACATTTTCGATTTAATTTTCAATGAAATTTTAATAAAAGTTTCAGTGCTGCTCTCAAAGAGATACAGTAAGTAATGAAAATTGAATGGAAGTGCAGCTGATCTCGAGTTTTTGTTTCTGTTAAGCTCTAAGAACAATAATAGAAGCTTAGAAAGGAACAATAATGAATGCTGAGCTATAAAGTAATTTGGGCACCAAACCTTAAAAATTCAAGTTTTAAGAGGGATGAAGAAGGTTGAAGGCAAATAATTCCCTCACATTTTCAAGTCTAAAACTCTCATCACATCCCAGAACCCCTAATTCAGCTTACTACATCCATTTCAATGCTCTTAATTACTAAATCCTACAGGAAATGTAATTGCCTTACATTAATCTGTAAACAAGGATGATTGCTGTGACAACAATTGCTATTCATGTTTTTCCAATATTACCGATTATACAGCAAATCACCTGATAACAACATGTTACGATATTGTGTCAATTGCTGCATCAGATTTACACATTTTCTATAATATCATCGTGCGGAAGAGATTTGAAAATTGAAGAACATTCAACCATAAATCCAAATAACATATTTCTAAATCCTTTATGGCACAAACAGAACTTCTATAGCTAACAATTTACATAAGCTAAATTGCATCTTAAATGGTGCTTCAAAGTTAACTATATCTTGTACAATGTCAGAGGGAAAGGTGAAAATAAATAGCACACTTGTTGCTTGTTTCCTCTCTCATTTTTTGTGTGATGTTTGTGAATGACGGAAGCAATCAATTTCAAATCGTTCAAAACTGCGATAAAAATTGTGAAATATGATCCGGTAATGTCATAGAAATAGGGATATATTATACTTTTTTTTAAATACAAACTTAAGATGTATATGGATGAGGGTCAACAGAGTTTGGAATGCTAGGATATTTTATATTGATCTGATTAAAGTGGATCTGAATGGAAACTTAAATTTTCAAAATTCTTAGGATGATTAAACTTGAATTTTTGAAAACCGATATAATATGAGTTTTGAAAACCGTTAAAAGTTCAAATTTTGAAAACCGTTTAAATTTGAATTTTTGAAAACCGATAAAATTGGAATTTTTGAAAACCGTTAAAAGTTCAAATATTGAAAACCGTTTAAATTTGAATTTATGAAAACCGATAAAATTGGAATTTTTGAAAACCGTTAAAAGTTCAAATTTTGAAAACCGTTTAAATTTGAATTTTTGAAAACCGATAAAATTGGAATTTTTGAAAACCGTTAAAAGTTCAAATTTTGAAAACCGTTTAAATTTGAATTTTTGAAAACCGATAAAATTGGAATTTTTGAAAACCGTTAAAAGTTCAAATTTTGAAAACCGTTTAAATTTGAATTTTTGAAAACCGATAAAATTGGAATTTTTGAAAACCGTTAAAAGTTCAAATTTTGAAAACCGTTAAAATTTGAATTTTTGAAACCCATTAAATAATTTTTGAAATTAAAGAAGAAATCCATAAATCAAATAAATTGCATTTTTATATCCACAAAGATTCTCAAAAACAACATTTCTTTCTAAAGAAAAATGAATTCTCGTTCATCCATCAAACGAAATATGCAGCATGAAATATTATGTAGAACATTACCAAGTGTGCACTCCAATGCATTCATCAAAAGTGTCCATGCTGTTTATTCAATGAAAATTATAAATATATTTTAATAAAAAAATAAAAATTTTTGTGTTGATATTGTTGGATAAAGGATAGACATGCAGCAATGATGAATATTCAATTCACACAGAAAATAAAGGAAAATATTATGTTGAATTTGATATGAAATAAAAAAAAATCTTAAAATATTATTATAAATTTTTGCATGAATAATTTTATATGAATATGCATGGATATTATTGCTGAAAAATTGTGATGTTTTTGCAGCACTTGGATGGATAGTTTTGTTATCGAAGTGAATATTCTGAGTAATTGTTCTTTAAAGACGTCTCAAAAACTTTTAAATTTTAACAAAAATATCTACAAAAATTCATGAATAATGCAAATAACTTCATTTCTTGACTCATTAATTCCAAAAAAGAAACTATTCTATGAAATTTACATGAATAGTTTTGCATGCACAAATGAAAAGTTGATTTTAAGGATTTGTGGTTATGTTTTGTACTTCTAAACTTTTTAACCATCCAACTTTGTCATTGAAGAAGTCTTTGTTTGATTTTCATGGAAATACAAGAATTATTCTTTATTAAAGAGTCGTTCATGGATGGCGTTTGTTCATTGAATGGGATTTTTATCGACTCTACAAAGCTATTATTAGTTCTCATAAGATTTTAAAATCTTCATCATTTGAAAATGTGTTTGTGATTCAAAGTATTAAAGATAATAAAATATTTAAGTTGTAGAATTTCAACATTTAATTAATCAATTTAAAGACATTTTGTGCAACTTACTAGTTAAGCTATTCCTGCTCTTGGGACATTGAACGCTGAATACTTTATAGGTTAGAATTAAATTTTCCTGCTTTTGGGAAAATATTCTTACAAAGGTTTCAAAATTTATTTATTTGTTTGTAATAAAAATAAAAATAAATCAATTCACATTTAGAAGAACTTCAAACAACTTAAAACGATGTTAGTAAAGTCTTTAAGGTTTTGTTGTTGCAATTTTTCCTCATCAATATTAGCTGAGACTTCATTTGATCTCGAACAGAGTTGACTTAAATATTTCCTACGATGTTCATCAATTATGCATTGTTCAACATTTTTTGATGGTCTTGAGAAGCCAAAGAGATCTATTATGGCAATCGCATGAAATTTTTCAACAAATATTTCCGATTTGATATTGAAAAGATTCTCAATGGAATTCAATTGTGCTGAATCGAACATTTTGTCAATATTTTCAATCGTTGAACATAAGTTGATAGCCATATTTGCTAAGAGCTGTATGTATGTTATTGTATGCATTCCAAAGCTTCTTACTTGAATGCTGTATGGACTATTATTGAATTCATCATTTAACACAATTTTATTTAGTTCCAATTCTCTGAACAAGTCATTGAGGCACGATTGTAATTCGTTTAAAGATTTATTGCCGTCTGTTAAAATCACAGCCAATACACGTTCATCACATACATCTGTAATATCATTATTGCTGTATTTTATAATTCCTTTACACGATTCCATCGCTTTATTGAATGTGACAAATTTTGTTGGATAATAATTGTAAGCGATTGCTTTTAAGAACATTTCACTGACATTGTAAGCTCTCAATTGATTTATTGTACATTCCAATATGTCTTGACTTTCATTCCCATGATTCCTCATCAAATTATCCTCTATTGTACTGTAAAAAGCCCTCTCAAATCTCTCAATCTCATTATCACAGAAATCATCACTTTTATTGTCCTCATCGACACTGACGAAGGCAGTAATATCAAGGTTGTGGTTCGGATGATACCTTGATAGATAATGGACGATGCAATCTTCTTTAAAATCGGTATAATCAATCAAATTCGTTATTATAAAGCCTAAGGTGAGTGCTGGTGTGAGACTAAATACTATAATCAATCGTATAACTTCCATTCTAATGGCGCTTTAGTATAAAACTGTCTGTGCATATGAATGCATTAGTAAAATGAAAATGTGCACATCCATTAATTACGATTGAATTGAGAATATCAAGGTGGGGTCAATTTCTGATGATTTGGGTTTTAACCCTCCAGTATTTAATGATTTATTTTATTAAGAAAGTAGGGAGGGGGGTTTCAAAATCTAGTGTTCTAAGGGTTTGTCCCTCAAGTTCTTATTGACAGGTTGTGTTGCAGTAGCCAACTCAAAAGCACCCACACCTTGCATTCAAATACATATTAAAGTTGCTATTAAAGCTTCAATATTATTGTTGATAGATCGGAGCGTTCTTGATTTGTGTATTTATAAACAACTTAATTGACCTCCTAGGTCGAATTCGAATGTACACTACATTTTATAAAAATAAATATGCATACATTAATCATTTAAATAAATATTTGTCACAATACTCTCATGTGTATGAATTTATCATGCAATAGAACTTTATTTGAATTCCTAAATTGAATTATTTTGTTTTAGAATTTGTTGGACTGTAAAAATATATAAGAAATTTTTTATAATTTACTAGTTGTGGGGGAAGGGGGGGGGGTGGTCAGCAAGAAAAGAACAATAGAAATTCCTGGAAATCCATTGTTCTTTTTTGAAAAATGACCGTTAATTTCGGACGTCATTAGTCAACGGCCCCTTATGTGATCGTAATTAAGTTGGGACTTTTAAAAATATTGATAGAATTTTCCAACGAAGAAATATTTTTAAAATTTTGAGATTGAAGCTAACGGTTCTTTTGAAATTTGAATGTCGTTACAATTCAAATACTTAAAAACCGTTATTTTTCAAATATTTTTTTACCAAGTTCTTCAAATAGACGACATCCCACGTGTCTACCAATTATATTCGTTTTCTGGACGAACTATAACAAAACAAAACAATTTTATTTTTGAAAAATGAAAAAATAGAGGACTGTCTTCTGAAAAACCAAGCAGATGGTCAGCCTATTAATGGTAGAACTCAATAAAAGAACATTGAGGTAGTCGCAAAAGAAACTAGTTATCACATGATAAATTGTGATAAATGATGAAATTCACAGAAGAAAATGGAAAGAAAACAGATCCAATGCTATCCAATTATTTTCATTTCATTTCAGCCTCGGGCATTATGACAAAAATGTTACGAAGGATGAAAACTATCGATTTTTAATAGCTTCATTATTATTTCAGAAAATTGAAAGGAGAAGAAATTTATTAATATTAAAAACTCATTTGGAATAAAATAAAAGTTATTTCGAAACTTCTTCTATCCAATTAAAATGAAAAAAAAAGCCATCGATTGCCAAATGAAATAAAAATTTAACAACAGACTATCCAATAAAATGTTATGGGAAATATTGTCGTTAAGTCTGTTATAAAAATAATATATGTACGTTTATTGGCACTCTGCTTAATTATACAATAATAGATTCTGTTTATTTTCAAACTTTAATGTTTTTTTTTATTTGATTTTTGATTAAAGTTTATTAGGGAAGTGTGCTTTAATTTATTTTTTTAAAAGTTGTCTTTGAGCTTTTGGACCGAACAGGATGTGACCCTTAACAATTCATGAACATCTAAAGAAAGCTTAAAAGTTAAACATTTCATTTTTTCATGAAAAAACTTTGCTTTCCTCTCAATCAGCTCTAGTGTGAAAAATCACTGAATGTGCAGCATAACAAAGGTACAATGACCACAAAACTTTGTCGGTTATTGGATTTTATTCAAAATAACGCTTATTGATATTCATTGTGCAAGCGATAAAGTGAACAGAAAAGCTTCAAATTGTTTAAGATCATTCAAAAATGACATCCCTCAACTTCCCCCTCAGTCAGAAAATTTTATTTTGTATGAATTTGTCACACAGTAGAGTTCCACTAAAAGTTGGACATAATTTATGAACGACGCCTTTGGAAACATTCCCGTTTTCTGCACTGACGAAAGCAGTGAATCAACAAAAAAGTATCTTTTTTTTTAAAAAAAAAAGTTGTGAAGTGAAATTGAGCATGGAAACATTGTACAGCAGTTATGGTAAATTAATATAAAAATTATCGAGCTTGTTGACAATTTTGTATGAACGAAAAAGGAAGAGGGAAATCGAGGAAATTGTTGTTTATTATTTAACAAGTTTTGAAACTATGAAAATTTTGTAGCATTTTGTGCTTGCCGGATATCTAATGGCTCTTGAATGATATTTGAAAGTTTTTTTTTGTTGTGATGTTTATTTTGTCATCAATGTAATTTTATGTTTTGTATAGAAACTTTAAGGGTAATTCCATGCTATAATTTTGCTATAAAATTTTCTTTAAATTGATTTTTTTCATCCTTAGGCTTTACAAAAGTTAATAAGATTTCCACAGGACATGTTAAAAGCCATAAGGTATGTTATTTGACATTAAAATGTCATCTAAAGTGATTATTAAGTCCAAAAAATTATATTTTATAGCGTTACTTGGTAACATTTATAGCGTTACCAAGTAACGCTCATGGAATCAATTTTTTGGACGAATTAACCACTTTAGATAGAAAATTAATGTCAAATCATATACCATATGACTTTTTACATGCACTGTGAAAATCTTATTAACTTTTGTAAAGCCTAAGGATGAAAAAAATCAATTTAAAGAAAATTTTATAGCAAAATTATAGCATGGAATTACCCTTAACATTGATGAAAGGGTTGTGCAAAATTATATAGTTCTGTTTTGATTACAGGATTATTGCTGGAAGTTAGTTGAAAGTTTTAAAAATACTGAATGCTGTCATTAATGATAAGGATGACAGGAAAATCTGGTGAATTATGATATTTTTTTGGAAAATTTTGATACAAAGACGATTCAAAGGCTACATTTGAGGGTCAATTGAAAGTTATGGAATCAAAGAAATACAGGCCAGAGTTGTCAATATATAATGTCGTGAGAATTGTGTTAATCTTGTCATATCGACAACATTCTATACAATGATTAAGAAAATCGGTCTCTGATGGGAATCGAACCCACGTCCTCATAAAAGAAGGTTACTGATATTCATTCTGTTATCTAACCACTCGCAACATAGAGACTTAACCTTCGCACTAGCAGATTCGCCTATATTAGGCTTATCACCCCAGATTCTATTCGGCTCTAACACCACAGCTATAAAACAACCTCCTTGTATCCCAGAAATTAATACAATGAGTCCTCGATTTGAGTAGATTCGATTTGAATAGGATTTTTTCTGGAACAAAACACTTACTCAAATCAAGGACCCCCAGTACGTATAGTTTTAAATATATAAAGTTCTCGGTTCACAGGAACGTATTGAAATCCTATTCCGAGAGAAACTTAAGAGACTTAAGAAAATATTTTACAAAATTCCCCCACTAAAATTGGTCATCGAAAAAAAAAATAATCTCGAAATAGCAAAAATTTAGCTTCAGCTCCAAAACTTTGTTACCATTTCCACTCGATTTCCTTTATCGACTACAAAATTTTCCATCTAAAAATTAAGCTCGCTTCGTTAGTATGGTAATGTCTATTCTGCATCAGCAATTAAGAGAAATTCGACTCTATAATTCGGATTTCGTAGAATTCATTTACGTAGCATTTCTGTCGACATTATAGCTTAAAATGATGAGTAGAAATAAGGACGTAGTGAGTGGAAGAGAAAGATTACTTCATTGGATAAATATCTTCAAGTTTACAATTTTATTTGAATTTAACACTCTCCTTCCTTGACAAATTTCCAACTACCCTCCTGCACAGAACATTAGCTTTAATATGCGATAAAACATGACATAATGAATATCAAATAAGCTGCCTTTGTACAACCATACATACTGCAAATCCCTGAACAAAGCAATTCTAATTTTGATATCAAATTCATATTTTCTATTTTTAAGAATCCATGGAAATGCGATAGAACTTTATGACTCGAACATAAAATTTCAATACTAAAGTAACATAAATTTCTCTTTGTGCCTACATGCAAAAACGAATGACCATTCCCAACAACAATTCATCGAAAAAAAAAGAAGAATTTATAGTCAAATTCATTTATATAAAAAAAAAGAAGCAGCAGAAGAAAAGGTCTTGCTCAATCCTTCTTTTTTATTGCACATTCATACATATGCAAGCATACGATATTGAAATCCATTCAAATGTTTATGGAAATGCAACAACAGATTGCAGAAAAATAAATGCTACAATGTTGAAAACAGCGTTAAACGGTCTCTAGATTCTATTTTATATTCCTTTTCGGATTCTGTCTGAAGACATAAATTTTATGGATATGGCGAAAAACAATTTTAGGGGTTTAAATGTCTATTGGGGAAATTGAATGGAATTGAATGTTTATTTCATTGTGCTGAGTTTTTTAACTCGTTGATTGTGTTGTGAAATTGAGGGACCGGCAGTCGAGTATTGAAATTCTGACACTTTGGCTTGAGATTTTAGATTTTGGCATGTTAGAAGCGTAGGAATTGAGAACGAGAGGGCTTAAGAGTTTGACTTTATAATAAACTATTGAATGCATCTAGTAGAGTATGACACATGCCCCGACAATTTAAAACAACCCCTAAAAGAACCTCCAAACCCCATCAATTTCAAATGTCTATTTGATGCGCATATTTATTAAAGAAAATATTTCACGCTGCTCTTCATGACTGGCTGCAAATTGTTCACATATATGTAGGATAAAAATTAAAACGAGAGCAGCAGCGGATGAAAAAAAAAATCAATACAGGAAGTTTTGTTTTATTTCTTAATTTAAATTCATTAAATTAAATTAATTCATAAAGTGAATTACATTTTATTTTATTTCCATGATTAAATTAGCTCCATTGCTCACACTAAGTGAATTTCTGTTTCAAGAGGAAGCATAATGAAATGCAAATTGCAATTATTCTAATTGAGGTAGATAGTGAAACGGCATCCAACGTTGTATCTTCAATTTGGGATGTTGATGTAATTGTTGATGATGATGATGTTTGTTCTTCTTCTACGCCAAACCATTCTTTGATGTTCTTCCACTCTTCGTCTTCAAGTTTCTCTCCGATGGTTTTCAGCTGAGATGCTACTAATGCAGGTAATATAGCTCGATTTTGAACTAATTTGGATGTGAGAGTTTTGAACTTTTCAAGATGTTTTGGTGAGTTGATGAGTTGGTGGGTCTTTGTGACTATTGTGTTGATGTATTCTGGTTGTCTGGAAGAGTTCAGATATTAAAATTATTTCGAGTTATTCAATTGCTTTATGAGTCTAGGGACATCATTTATAAACAACCCCTTTATTTAAAAACATCATAAAACACAAGACTATACTTACAAATTACTGATTTCCCACCACTTGTCACTAATCAAGTCCATAACAGTCTCTAATCCAACAACACTGCTTTCAACTGTAACTTCCATAATATTTGTCACATAAATAGGTTCGACTTCATTTATTGGATTTAAGAATGTTGTAAACATTTCTTCAAGAAGAGTTCGATTAAAGGAACATCCAAGTCCGCCAATAACTTCCATGTCAATTAAGAATTCAAAGTTAATAACTTCATTGATGTAATGTCTGTAAATTGTTTCATTAGCAATGCTCAAAGCACTGCATAAGTCTGGCTTGTCACTTGTTAAATTAGTTTGCATGTATATAAGCAGTTGGCTTAACTGAAGTTCTAAAAATTCAGGATGCTGACTTATCATACTCCATCTTTTAATCTCAACTGGAAATTCTGTGTCAACGCTTTTTGATGCTTTTAAAATCTTAATATGAGGCTTAAGAATTTCATGCATTTTCGTCTGAAAATTCTCGTAGACATCACTAAATAGCAAGAATTTATGAAGTTGTTCAAGATAATACGATGCAGTCCTCCAAATCACGCCAGACGTTTCATATTCTAATACACTCATGAATTCCAAACAGTCACTTGCCGTCTTTGTCTTTAATATACTCCAGCCAAGATATATTTCCTCGTGTAAGACTTTACGATTTACATGATGAATAATTTGAAAGTTTGCCTTGTAGCCTTTTATGATGACATCCCACAGCTCTCGACTGTAATCAACACGATAATATCCCACTAGTTGAATATTAAATATTATCCATTCATCCAATGTGCTCAAGATTTCATTAAGTTTTATTACTTCTGATGTCATCCACACTTTTGCTGTCTTTTCATCGAAATTCGGATTTGTTTTTGTCGCAAATGTAAGTGGAATCGCATAAAAATCATTGACTTTCTCATCTGGAAAGCGTTTTTGTGTTATAATGACATCATTTCCAGATTTTCTAATGCTTATGACTGGATAGCCCGGCTGCTCTTCCCACGATGACATGAGCTTGCTAATATTTAAATTATTATTTGGTTTATCGTCATCGTAAGCTTTCTGTAGGGCTTTGTGGAGATCAAGAGAATTTGCAGCTTTAAATCTCATGTCATTTAAGAAGATAGTAAGTCCTTTTGTAAATGTTGATGGTGATAGCGCCTCGTAAAACATTCGGATGATTACAGCTGACTTTTCCACAACAAAGGAATTAAACTTTTGGTCAATTTCAGTTGGTGTTTCCACAAAGTCATTGATTGCATCCTTAAGACCAACATCGATACTATATAATGGCTGTACAATTAAATCTTGAAATAAATTCATGTATTCATATTCTGGATATAACAGATTCGAGATGTGGTATTGGAAAAAGATGGTAATTCCTTCATTTAACCACAAGTATTGCCACCAAGCATTCGAGACAATACTTCCGAAATATTGATGTGCTATACAATGTGCAATTGCACCAATAATTTGCGGTTTAAAATATTGCAGAACTTCCTCGTTAAATCCATTCTCATCTAATAGTAAGAAACTCTCCTCATACGTTATTAATCCATAATGCTCAATTCCACCGCTAAACAGTGGAATTCCTACGTGATCCAGTTTCATTAATTCAAGTGAAATCGGAAGTACTTCAATGAATTTATTTAGCACTTCATCGACTGTTTTAAGTGCAAACTTGGCGGTTCCATTTCGAATTTTCAAAGGTTCTCCATAAATCTTTTGTTCGATTTGCCCATTTTTATTGGCAATAAAGTCAAGATCTGAGACAACAAAAGCTAAAAGGTATGTTGGTATTGGTGGTGTCTCAAAAAATGTAGTTGTGACGTTGCTAATTCCAAACTGATTTGATGAAACTGGCATATTCGATAATGCATGATAAGACTTGTCATGCTGAATTTGTAATTTAATTGGGACTCTAATTTGTGGCTCATCATAGCATGGAAATGCTTTACGAGCACTTATTGGGAGAAAATGTGTCGCTGCCATCCAAACTTTCTCATTTGCTTCATCTTGATACGATGTCGCATACAATCCACTCGTCTCATTGTTAGTCATATTACCATGATAGTCTATATCCAGCATAATTTCATCATCGACGTTCAGAAATGATGGCAACATGATGACGAGAAAATCTTCCATCGCTGAATTCTTAAATTCTAAACTGGATTTATTTAAATTCCCTTCCTTATCGTATAAATCCACCTTAGTGATGATGATGTCACGTGAATGTATTGTTATTGTCTCACTTTCCTCGATTATTTTTATCCGAATTTTTACACGCCCATTGAATTTTAAATCACTTTTATGTATATCCGTCATAATCCATAGATCGTAGCTTATTGGAAGTGAATTATTTGGAAGCCTGTAATTCAATGATTGATCACTTCTCTTGGTTCGTTGACTTAATAATTCATTTTGTTTATTGGATAATTTACTAGCTTCGGAAGTAATAAATATTAAAACCACAATAAGACACACTTCTCGCACCATCGACATTTCAATTTGATTCCTCAATTCGCACTGTGGCCAGGTGGTTAATAATTCGTTCTTTTATTTTTTTGAAACGCCAATTAATCTTATCAATTATTGATGATTGGTTTTATTAGTGAAATTGTCAAGCGTAATCTCGATGACACAATGGAGTGTACAGACTAGATTACAATGATTTAGTGTGAGAATAGTTGTTGTCGGTTATATTTGATTCTTCAATAATCATTGATACATTTTGATGAGTAATCTATAATAGAAAAAAAAAAGATTTGATAAGGGTCACAAAAATATATTTTTATTGCGATTCCACTTAGGGGCCATTCACTTATTACGTAATGCTTTTAGGGGGAGGGGGGGTCTAAGATTTTGTTACGGTTCAAACAAGGAAATTTTTTTTTCATACAAATTTTGTTACGAGGGGGGGGGGGGGGGGTCTAAGAAGTCATTTTTTCGCGTTACGTAATAAGTGAACAGCCCCTTACGTACCTATTGTTATGGAATGATAATTTTGTTTACTTGCAGGGTAAATAGATGATTTCGTCATAAAGTTTTTGGATAAAGTATAAATGACTATTTTATGACGACGATTCTTGACGCATCTTTAAGATATTTTTAAGGTTTTGTTGTAATTTATGATGATAGTTGATTAATTGTTTAGACTGCGTCAGTTATATATTTCTAAGATGACGCTATAGAGAAGGTTTTTTACAGTTTCTTTCTTATAGCAAAGGCGATCTGAGTGGAAAACTTGACGTGATGTCTAATAGTCTAATTCCTAGACTTAGGGACGTTAAATTACAATATTTTGGAAATGAAATTAAAAAATTTTAATTAGTAATTTACTAGTCATCATGTCAAGTGTTCCACTCGGGCCAGTTGCTAGGGCTCCCTATCCAAAAAAAACGCTCCACTTTCCCCAAAGAATTCTTGGAAAAAACCTGTTGTCAGAGACATTATTGCATTTGGTATTGGTAATTGGCAAACTGTAGCCAGCGATAGAGCCAACTTCAGGCGCCATCTAAGGGAGGACATGGATCACAATTGATCTGTACGTCCAGCGAAGTAAGTAAGTAATTTAAGAATTGACTTTTGGCTCTATAAGCACGTAGAAGAACAATACAAGCATTAAAATCGATAATTCCATTTAAGGGCCGTTCACTTATGACGTCCAGGAGGGGGAGGGGGGGGGGGGGGTCAGCAAGAAAAGAACAATAAATAAAAATTGCAGGAAATCCATTGTTCTTTTTTGAAAAATGACCGTTAATTTCGGACGTCATAAGTGAACGACCCCTTATGAACGCTGTTTGCATTCGTGTCGTCTGCAATGTAATGTAAATGCACACCTTAGAATGTCAAAAATTATCAATTTGTCATCACAAAATAAATATTAAATGTTTAGGTGAACTTATTATCGCAAAATTCAACAAATAATAAATTTTATTATCAAATTAAAACAAAATTGTGCGAAAAAAATAAATAAATTAAAGAGCAGTGATTTTTAATAGCTGAAAAAGAGTACTTCTCTGATTGTTTTAGTTGATAAAAGTATTTATAGAGTTAAAATTGCTTTAAATCCCAGTCTTACCCACAAACTGCTTTAAATACAGTAGCGTAGCAGTAAAAGAGTGTTTACGGCTATAATAGCCTGAGTCTTTCATGAAAAAATCTAAATTTAATTAAACTAAATCATAAAAGCATCTCCAGATCCTAATTCGCTAAAGAACTAGTTCTGTGCTTGATATTACAAGTTATATCAATCTCAAACCTAGATTTTTGTGGCTTAAGTAGAGCTAGGTAACAATATAAAATGAACAGCCCCAATTTTGAGTCAAAAGTAGTCAGACCTAAATTCTCCGTGCTGAATTTCAACACAAAACCCAGTTGTCTACAACAGAATCATTTCCACAAAGAAGCATTCAAATTTACCACAATTTTTGCATTCCATTACAAATTGTTTTCCTTTACTTCCTTATCTCATTCTGAACAAAAAATTTTTTCCTATTTTAATTTCGTCACATAAATAATTTTTTTTTGTCCTTATGATGCATACAGCAAAAAATACTTTTGTTTCATATCTGTCTGTAATGCGATTCGTGCATACTGCATATAAAAAATGCCATTTCCCAACACAATCACGTAGCTGATTAAGGGAGGCTTAATGCTACAAAAGCTCTTGACTCATTTCATGCTGCTGCTCTCTTTTTCCTAGCTTGTTCCACAGAAATGTTTAAAAAACTTTTCTTCATTCACTTTATTCCCAACAACAACAAAAGAACCACATCATATGATATAAAATGGGTCTGAACTGTTGCTGAAATGAAATTTAATGAACATCAGAGAGAAGAATTGTAAGTGTGTGTATGAATGGAACATAAAAATTTAGCTTTGAGCATTTATAAGCTTTTTTTATTACAACTCGAAAATGTGAGGATTGAAAAGAAGTTAAAAAAATTTTAAAAATGTTTTCGTAACCTTTCAAGTTGAAACTGATGCAATTTACATAAAATGCAGTAATCACAATTTCACTATGATATGAAGAGAACGAAAAGAGATGGAATATAAAAAAATGCATAAATCTTCAGTTCACATCGTATGTAGAGAAATATTCAAGTCGCTTTGAATGATGGAAACTTTCATTCTATTTACATTGGATTGGCAGAAAGTCTATTTACTGAATGATAGTAAAAATATATTTATCAATCGATTGGATTTTTATTCCTTCTCATTTTACACGTTCTTACTGAGCGAGAGTCTTCAGAAAATTTTGAATGACACTTTGGGTGCTTAAGGTAATTTAGGTTGAATACCATTCCTGGTTGTTTCAAAGAGCTGCAGACCTAGAGCTACAATTCTATTCTTAACATTAATAATTCATAAATCTATATTATATACGCTAGCTCAGTGTGAAGTGCATAAAAACTGTTTTAGATCCTAGAACTAGTGTTCATGTCGGCTCTCGTTACAATTTTCAGTGAGTCACAATGACTCCAGGTACGATCCAGTAAAAGCTCTCGTTGGTGAATTTACGGCTCTCGTATCTTTCTCATTCTGTCTACATAATGTCTCCCACCGGTTAATTCTTAGTTTTACGTCTTAAAATAGGCTGGTGGTGGGATTTGAACCCGAGAGTCCAAAATCAACACCAACTTTTGTGACCTGTACCTTGCCAACTGAGCTATCAATGCATTTATGCTTCTTGGTTTATAGCTTATTATGATGCTTCCAGTAGGACTTAGACCATATCGAATTGTATCTTGAGTTCAATTCAGACAAACGCTTCTTTTAAAAATCAATTGCTAATGTACTTCTGTAATTATGCATCAACTAGCCCTGCTGTTCTTAAAAAGCGCATTATCTCCTCATCATTAACGATTTATTATCATTATTTATAACTTGTGCAGCTTAAAGCACTCTTCTTTTGATAATGTTGATTTTACCAACTCATTCATTGAGTCGATGAAATATTTAAATTCATTTTTATTGATGAGAATAATTCTTTTTGATATTTCCATACTTCCCTCATCAATATACATGAATATCCATAAAAGTTAAAAGTAAGTAAGTGAGAATCGAGAAAATGGAAAAAAAATATAAATTATGCAATATATTTGATTTGATTTCATCTGTTATATTATTCATGTTGAAAGGAGAAGTTTCAAGAAAATACCGGAAGATGTGTAAGGAATTTAAAGTGAACATAATTGAACATCATTATTCAGGGAAAATAAGGAAGTTTATTTTGCATGAAAATTGCTCAACATTTTAAATTTTGTATTTTGTTGATAGAAAAAAAAATTATATTATTGCAATTTCATGTATGATTATCTATATAAAGCATCAGCTTTGCGAACATGATAATAATATTTATACATTTTCAACGGAGATAATATCAACTTGATGCATTTGCATAATTTTTAAAATTTATTTAATGCTTCAACAATTTGGAAAAGGATACAAATGTGAAATATCATTGATAAGCTGGGCAGGTCTATAGAGTTCTTTGATATTCTATTTCTATCTATATTTCTTTATCTAACATTGATATTATTATTATTATTATTATTGGTATAATATCCCGTAATAAATTACGGGCAGCATTTAAAACTTCACTTAAATAAAGTTTTGAGATTTGGATTGTTGGAGTTTATAAAGATATCAGAATAAACAAACAATTCGCCATTTTGGATTCCGCCATTTTGAATTTTGATTTGTAAGAGGGAGTGGCTTAAAGTGGAATGACAGAAAGACAAATAAAGGCTTTTTCAATATGAAATAAACCATAAGGTTCAAAAATAGTTTTGATTGCATCAAATCTAGAGAAATAGTCAATATTGTGAATGAAAGGAAGAAGTTAGGTTGAACATCAAATTTAGTAACCTGCTCATACTTAAACTACGACCTCTAAAGCAAAATGTACTCAAATAAAAATCATCAAAATTATAATTTATAAAAAACAATAACCAAATCAAATGCATACAAACTGCACATATAATAATAAAAATATTCCAGAAAATTCCCATCCTCATCTATAGACTCGACTCGATAAACAGTTCCACATTAAAATTATCCGCAGTGGTTGGCATGCAAGATAATAATTCTTTTCGTCTCATTGATCACGAAAATTAATTTTTTCCGATATGCAAATAAAAATAATTCGGTAAAAAAAGTAAAACTTTTTAATGAATAGTGCGCGATGACCTCAAGCCCTCTATATCTTTCCTGTATTCATATTTCAATGAGCAGTGGAATGCCAACAAAAAAAAAAAGATTAATTAAAGTTATTTTGTCTGCTGTCGATGAAGTGCTGCAAGCTTTCATAGTATAAAGTTAATTGCGAAAAATTAAATTCATGAAAATTGAAATTAAAATATTTTTTACCGTAATTATAATCACATCCAAAAACATTTTTCAAGCATCAAGTATGCAAATGAGCTGTTTCCCTCTTTTGAATTAATTTTGATGAACATTTTGTGCCTCGTTTTTATCAAACAAACATTTTCATCGACGCTAGTTATTCAAATCAATTTTTATCATTGAATATTTAGCGTGCATCATAAATGGAAATTGAATTAAGCTTTGTGCTT